AGGCCAACATTCAGCGCCATATAGCTCGACTGGTCGAACAACGGTCTTATAGATCTTCGATTTGAGGCGATCTGGTATTGTCTTGTCGCAGAGAACGCCAGTCATAGACCGCCATTTAGACCAGGCTGCACTCACACGTGCGCTCACTTCTGAGTCGAGACTACCGTCAATTGTTGATCCGAGGTATTTGAACGCTGTAGTTCGCGTGAGCACACCTTAAGGGAACCAGACTCGTCCGGGTCAGTCGTCAGGTACTCGGTTTTCTTGACGTTCAATCTGAGCCCGAAGTTTGCTAACCGTTCAGTCCAAGCTTGCACTTGTTCCTCGAGACCATTTTTATTCTCTGGTTGTTCATTACTAAAGTGAAAGAACATTGTTTCAGGGTTCTTCTCACCATATTGCTGGTGTTGTCGTGACAGAGCCTCTTTCATCTGCGCAGTGTTTGACAACTGGAGAGGTAACATCCTTGTCAATGCCTGTTCCGCCTTTCGTTCCTTGTCAACTTTTTTCCGCAATTAAGACTATCTGCGCTGACGATCCCATGATCGGTGTGAATCGGCTGTGGACACATCCTACTGCCAGAAAAAGGGGCATTGCGAGTGAGATTCTTGACGTCATTAGGAACTGGTACTTCACAGGAGTGATCGTACCACGGAACAGGTTGGTCCCTTATATTTTGAAAGTGAAAGCTGGTTAGTGTCTCTGAAAATGAATAAGCTAGAGTAAGTAAACTGTTCAGGATCGCATTCAGTGATCCAACTGATGTCGGGAAAAAGTTCGCAGAGCACTATATAAGGTTTGTTTGTCTCGCCATGTCTCGATGGTAATCCAGAAAAGCCGTTTGAAATGAAGTGTATACCCAGTGATGTTTCTTTGAACACTTATTACGAATCCGTCTTCCATATCTGCTGTGAACATCTCCAAACAAGCTTAGACGGCTGCTTTCATACCCTTCGTTGGCATTTTGAGCGTGCGGCACAGTTTTGAAATGAAATGTATGATAGCCTACGGTTAGGAAAGTAGTGAAGTCGATCAAGCCTTCTGAACATACGTCAGCGTACGGTAGCCTTTTGAGCGTCATGGGAAGTATAAATGTCGATCATGCGTCCTGAGAGTTTCGTGGATAGTTCAGGTTTTTTCATGGACAGTCGCCAAAAACGCTGACTTCCTTTCAGAACCCTAGGTCGATATCTGGTACGCTCAAAATGCTGAGACAAAGTATGAACGCAGCCTTACGGAGGTTTTCATGGATAATTGAACAAACAATCAGTACGGGTGTCTTCTGGACGCGCGCGGATTGGAAGATTGCTCTGCTTATGTGTGTCGTCTGTCCAACCCTTTGTGGCTGCTGCATGTCTTGCACTGTAAACAATTGTTAAACGGTTGTTGCAAGCCACTCACATTTGAAACAACTCTACGCCCAATTAATTTTGGGTTTGTGATTCCATCTGAGGAGCGTCTGTCGGCTTCCGTTCGAGAGTTCAGCGTACTAATGAAAGACGGTATTAGCACTCACAGTTTGAGAAGCATCTCAATTGAGCGGGGCCATTTGATTTCACGCACCTTCCATTGTCCTTTGTTTCTGTTTCCATTGGCGTCATCTCCAGATTTCCTTCTGAAACTGCTCAGTGTCGTAGCAGGATGATGAGTTGAATTGCATAGTGGTGGTTCTTGGCTATTACCTTATAAAAGTCAAGCTTGACTCGAAAGAACTAAGATTGTGAGGTATTACTTTCAGGGCAGGAAAACAAATGAACTGTTCAATTCTCGTCTACCGAGTCATGAAGTGAGGCTTATTTGCTTTGCACCAGTCAGTTGCGAGAGTTTTTGTGCAAATAGCGATTGCATCAATTACATGTACATCACTGATGAATATGCGTTGTATAAGTACTTTACAATGATACCATCTGACACCTGTTCCTCTTGCCTCACTCATTTTCAATCTAGTTTTGGTATGTGCAAACGCATGTCTGAGGGAAACTGTGTCAAAATTATCTGTGCCATACTGATTGCTTGCATATAGTCAATATAATTTGATGCTTCAGAAGCTCGTTTGTTATTGAGAGACATTCTCGGAGAGTTATGTTACTCTCGATAATGATTCTGAACTTGGAGGTACTTTTCTATCACAAAATGAAGCTCTAAGAGTTCATCCCTGTAAAAATTGATACAGTGCGTATATTCGTTTCATCTGAAGAAGTTTAGGTATCTTGTTGTGAATTAATAGTTTATATTTTACAATCTGTGTTCTTTTTTAGTATAAATTGTTCTGAGTCAGTTGATAGTACTGGGATAATCAGATGTTTATGAATACATTCCACGAAATTCTCTTGAAGAACGAGATTTTCGGAGCTCAAGTAACCAGCCAAAAGAAATGTTATTTCCTTGGGGATGGCCCTTTGAAACGACAGCATTACAACGATATGACTAAAGGCAGTGAGCACGATGGTTGGGGGCGGGCGGTTGCTGCCAGCGTCCTTGATGGAAGGACTATGAGAGGGCTTTTTGCCATACTTAACCAATTTTTCTGTTTTCACCCATGCTTCGGGAATTTGACTACCTGGCCTCCGTGTATTTTGGGTGAATAATCGCGGAAATGGGAGAATCCACAAAAGGGACTGCGTATGGTTTGATTCTGCTCAGTCTTCTCAAACGAATCGATTAGCATCCGATCCACTCCGCGAATTCTCGGCACTCATAATTTCCGATTCTGCAGCTCGGCACTGGCTATCAACAAAGGCTCACTGTTTTTTGCATTACTCATAAGCGCCTATAGTTGAGTAACTATCTACTAAAGATTTGTCAAATAAGATAAAATAAAATGACAATAGTAAGTCTTGAGAAGTTTTTGCATTTGTTCCAAAGCTGAAAAATATTCTAAAGTTACTTTTAATGCCGATTTTCTTCATCATTTGTCAAAATTCGATGAGCAACACCAACATATACATGATCTTCACTTTATAACGTATAGTTTAGAATCATTACAATGACGGGTTCAGACTCACTGTAATTACAAATCTCAGCCATGGGTAGAAAAGAACAAACCAAGATTCGCAGAGGTTTGACGATGAGAATCAACCGTCATCACACCTTGCTCTGTTATGGGCTCCTTTCCGTTTGGTGGGATCATATTCGGCGAAATTGGTACCAGCTTGGATGTTTGAGGAAACTGCTGTTAAGTTGTTTTCTGCCATTTGAATCTCATCGTACACGGTGGTGCCAGAATAGTCAATTCCGCCGTCCATTGACAATTCCTTTTACATCTGGACGGTTCAACAAGGCCCTTTGAGCGCGTTCATACTTCACGACCGCGCGATTGGATCGCTCAATTCAATCGCGCGATCGCGAATTATGAGCGCGCTTTTAGCTGGTAGCAAATCCACCGAAACTGACCGAGTGCTATTACTGCGACCATAGCTAGCATCTATTAGCTACTTCAACCTAAAAACTAGTAACACGTGATCAAACATGAGTATCTGATCTACCGGTGATAAATGGGCGTATTGCCGCTGAGTGTTATTGAACATGTAACAATATGGTCCAAGTCTAATATGAAAACTACTTAATAAGGATACAAGATTTCAACTCTGAACACTTTCATTTCAACTTTCCATTTGATCGATGAGCGAGTTCTCCATGATACTTTTGCAGATAATCCGAAATGAAGCCTATGGGGTCGGCTGGACGGCGCAGAAGCACCTGAAGAGAATTTTTGAATTGTAAGCTTTTCTTAAAGATCTCAGTTTAACGATGCAGCTTTCACAACAAACCTCGGCGAGCGCTTTTGTGAGCACTGGTGCCACAGTGCGTGCCAGGTAGATGCCATTCTCCGACGTTGGCATATCGGTGCGACCAAGCACCATCCGCTCAAAACGATTCCGTTCCGTATCATCGTCCTCATCGTTGAGGCGGGCGGAATCCACTGGTGAGCTGAACAAAAACCTTCTAGGGTACCTGACAAGTCTGAAGAACTCAACTGTCCCATTATTATGGCCCTTACTGGTGGCGAAGGTCTAATGTAAGGGCCAATACATCTCCTTTTTGTTCATTTGAAGCCTGTTGGCCCACTTCTCGTTCACCTAATCGGGTCCGTTTTCTCAAGAAAAAAAAGAGTCGTGCGGCAGGATTA